GTTTGCCCAGCTTCTCCCCACGCCGCAACACGGTTCGGCAGCTTGTTGTTGTTAGTAAATAGGCCTGTTTGGAGAAGCAGTATTTACGCCTGGCAGGGTAGAGGTTTGTCAAAGGAGGTCCTTACAAACTACTCACCAAACACATCATAAACAGTTTGACAGTGGCTTTTGGACGCAGCATAGTTAGTTGAAAAAGTACGCAAACAACACTCCCACTGGCCGCGAGCATGATACCGTTCATCTTGTTAACCTGGAGTGCCACTGCTTTCAGATGCTTCAAGGATAAATCCATTAGAAAGGAAAATAGCCACAGTCGTCTGAAAACTGGCCCGCATATGTTGGAATCGCACACCCCCTTATGAGGCCTGCTTTCCCGAACAGGGACAAACGGAGGAGGTAGGTGCTAGATGCACCTTCATTTGGAGCAGTCCATTAACGACACAGAGGCGGCACTCAGGGGTCACATTTGTTATAAAGCACAATAGTTTGAGACCGCTGTCGTGGTCCTCTTACGGAATGAGCGATCTTCACAGGACCATGAGGCTACCACTCCATTGGGCCAACTGGTTATCCTTGTTAGTGTCCATTATTCCCCAGTGCTCAACTCTGACTGTGTGAGGGGCAAGGTATACGAAGACCTACGTTCACTTCTTGCGACTGCTTCGAAAACAGACAAACTGATTGCCCTTGCTGACTTCAACTTCCGCGTCAACTACCTGGGAGGCATTGCTAGTTCCCAACGGGAACTGCCGTCTCCTCCTACAGACCTTTTTCGGAACACAGTTTTTGCCTGACGAGCATCGTGTCTCAACTTGACGTGCTAGTGGCCAAGGCAATATGTACTGGGGCATATTTACCGGACCCCTGCGCTGTCATCTCTAAGGTAGGGGCTTCAATGGTACCAGAGCAGACGACCACAAGGTAAGCTAACATCCCTTAACTTATGTACTATATTACTTAATCCAATAGGCTGAAAAAATCCGAAGATACTCCGACTGCAGAAGGATAAGGAACTTATTTGTGTTCATTGAGGTAGCCCATATCCGTGGACCAAAGGGCCTGTCCCACTGTTCAATCAACATAATGCAGCCCTACCCCCGAAAAAGTCGCAGATCTTGGAGTCCTGAACCGTACCTTGTACCGTGCTTGAA